GAACTCCTGAGCTCAAACAATCCGCCCGCCTCAGCCTCCCAGAGTGCTAGGATTACAGGCGTGAGCCACCGCGCCCGGCAGTAAAAATGTCTTTTACATTATTAAAATGGCTTAGTTATCCTTAGTCCTTAACATCTTACTTCCAAACAGATAAATTAGAGGGTGAAATTACTCCCGTTACAGAAGGACTCAGAGCCTGTTAAACAAAAATTACAGGAGGCCGTTGCTTTGGACGAAGCTCCCGCACCAGGCCCCAACAGACAAGACTAGACATCAAAGGGGAGTCACCCATGCTGCAGTTCTAGTCACCACACCGAAACTCAGTTGTCATCTGACCTTTTGAGAATCCAGGAGCGATGGCCAATTGCCCAAACAGGCCAGTTTCCCCCTTCAATAGACAGGATAATGAAGGTCCCTGTGTTTTAATCCTCACAACGAAAAGTAAACTGACGTAACCTGATGTTAACCAGCCAGTTATCTTTCTATCGTTCTCCCTGTCCCTGTTTTACAAGGAAAGTAACTTTGAAATGATCAATTTGCTTTTTGTTCTTCGTTTTTGCTTTCTTCAGCCCTTTCTGCCTATAAAACCAATCCCCTCTAGTCAATTCATTGAAACACTCATTCTATTTTATGGAATGAAGTGTTGCCATTCTATAATAACAAATAAAGCCAAATGAGATCTTTAAATTTGTTGCAATTTTGTCTTTTGACAGACCTCTTTAAGTAGCATTTTTTCCTTGAGGTTTCTTTTAAAGCTGTCAAATATAATATGCAAAGCTAAAGTGTTCTGAGCAATTAATATAAATGTAAGATGGACATTTACAAGTTTGCATTTGATTTATCTTTTTTTTACTGAAAAGGGAGCTGAAATGGAGGTAGAATTGATAGACTCGTACTCATTATTGTTTCTCTCCAAAATTCTTTAATTTGTGTGCCAATCCCTGCTCTGCCTCTCACCAGCTGTGTGAATTTGGGAAAGTTACTTAACCTCGCTGTGTCTGATTTTCTCATTTGTAAGAGGGGTATAGTAACAGTATCTACACGATCCGGCTATTGTGAGAATTCAGTGGGATAAAACCTGTACAGCCCTTAGCACAGTGCTGGCGCGGAGGTGAGCACTCGGAAGTGTCAGCAATTCACAATAGGAAATCTTGGGCTCAGTCACTGTGTTTCTACGTGAGCCACAGCCTGTCTGGAACTATGTCTTACTTTGTAAAACACCTACCCCAGAGCATTGTTTTGAGACACAAAAGAGCCACAGGGTGGGCAGGGTTTCCTTCTGCAGTCCTCTCGGGTCAGGTCCTCTTGTTGCAAGGAAGTGTAGGTTGCCAGAAAGAGGCCAGGATCCTGAGCCAGGTGGATCTGACTTCAAATGCTGGCTCTCTGACTTTCCCA